ATTCAATATTTATGCATCAATGTTACAAAATAAACAAATTAAAAAAGTAAAAGGTAATAGTTGTTCTGTCACATACTGCGGAGTTTCACCTACCATTAATAGGCAACACCCCCTGCAACCCCCCACCCCCCGGGGATGTCCGGCCCCTGAACTGTTGGTCTTGAGTTACTGTGGCCCGCTGAGCAATTTAGTTGAATATTCCTGCACTAATTGATCATTTTAAAGGTGTTACTGTATTTATTCTGAACTTTARAAAGGCTGGTCTGTAAGAGGAAGAACTATTGCAGGGTTTAAAATAGCTGATTTCTTTTTTCTGGGTTTGACACAGACCTCAAAATTGAAATAAACTTGAAGACAGGCTTAAGTTCAGAGCGACCCTCAGAAAACTGTCTCTGAGTTGAGCAAAAAAAGGGAAATTTGATGTGATGTTTAAATGGTTGTATTTGTAACACAGTGAGTTGTTTTATTTTCTTCGTCTAATATCTTTCTCTTCACTCTTTTCTTTGTGCTTTCTCAAAAGGGAAGTGAAAAGGTTCGTCGCATGTGTTTCATGTGTAAAAGCTGCAAAACATTTCATCTCCAGTTTGAATAGAAACGGCACCACGTTGTTGGAGCTGGCTGTGTAGCAAACTTTAAACTCAGATTTGTCAGAGCCAGTTAGTTGACCCGATTAAACGTGTTTTGTGTTTGACTTCACCGGGGAGTTGTTCGGTTCTAATTTTTTGCTCCTCTGTCTTCAGTTGGGTCGAGATCTCCAACAGTACCAGACTCAAGCCAAGCAGCTGTTCAGGAAGCTCAACGAGCAGAGTCCCACCCGCTGCACTTTAGAAGCTGGCTCTGTGGCTTTCCAGTGAGTTCAAATCATAAACATTTCTTGAGAGATAGGAACTCTCATTTCCCAGCACTGCTTTTATTCAAAGCCCAACATTTTTCCTTTTTATCTTCCTTGCAGTTACTTCATAGAGCAAGGAGTTTGCTACCTCGTGCTGTGTGAAGCCAGCTTTCCTAAGAAGCTAGCCTTTGCGTATCTAGAGGACCTGCAGGCAGAGTTTCATGAGCAGCATGGGAAGAAAGTCATCACAGTATCCCGTCCATACTCTTTTATTGAGTTTGGTAAGAAACAGACAGAGCTGGGTTCATTTCTGAGCTCTTGTAGGAAAACAGTGTTGTTCAAAATGGTTTGTCTGAATAAAACAGGAATCAGCTGGATTTATTCTTAAAACTTTATTGTCAATCTTCTGACTCCAGTCAGGTTCACAGTACAGCACACAGCAGGCCTCAGCCTAAGAACCTGGGCTCAAAACAAAACAAAACACAGCAGCCTGCTCTGAGCAGAGGCTGCAAAACACTAACAACTTCTTTCTATTATAATAATGAATTGACCTTATAATGGTCATCTCTTCCTGGTTACACCTCTGGAGGTGTTAACTTTTATGTTAGACATCAGAACGTAACTCATTTTTGTTTAGGCTAAAGAAAGAACACATAAGACACACCAACTTATTCTGTTATGTCCTTAAACCTGCAATGATCAGAAAATATAAAATATGAAACTGCATCTAATATTCAGTTAATCAGTTACAAAATCAACTTCACTCTGATGCATAAGTCGTACTATACAGTATAGTATAACATTTTTGGACTTAAATATAGCTTAAAAAATAGTTGTTAGTTTTGTGTGTAGCATAAAATAAAGATTCTCACTTTGGTAGGTAGGTAGAACACAGAGAAAAATAATACCAGGTAGGTAAGTACTAGGTATGTAGGTAGGTAGAAACCACAGAAAAAATAATAGGTAGAAAGTAGGGTTGGGCATAATTGTATTGTGTGCAATTAATCGTCAGAAAAACATTAATCGATTAATTTTTGGCACTTGACAATTTATACGATTAATGCCAACAGGCAGAGTCCGCTCGCTGCTCCTCTCTGCTTCAAATATGACGAACATTAAAAAAAGTTCTGTAATTTATTTATCTATCAACACAATTTAAAATATGATGTATAGCCCGAAGTCTGTGATTTTGACACAATTTGGAACAGATTTTTATGAAGAGCAAATCTTTCCCACTAAGTTGGTCATGTGACTATGAAATAAGGGCGTCCAGGGACTCCAGGGGATTAATCGTCAAATTAATCGTTATCGGCTAAATACCACAATTAATCGTGATTAATTTTTTTGCCAATATTGCCCAACCCCAGTAGACAGGTAGAAAACAGAAAAATAAATTATAATACTAGGCCAGTAGGTAGGAAATGCAGAGAGAAAAATAATACTAGGTAGGTAGAAAAGAGAGAAATAATAATACTAATTGATACAATCAAACTGCATTCAATGAAATTCAAGCAAAATCATGTAAAAACACACACACACACATATATATATATATATATATA